TTTTTTAGAGCTAATGTGAGAAACAACAACAACAACAACAACAACAAACATGAAAAAATTAGTTGACGCCGGTGGGTGTACCCACTGCGATGTCGGACAGAAGTGGGCACTCTGTTGAGGCCTTGCGCGCGTCGGCGGCATTAGGGCCGAAGGTGTGCCTGAAAGTGGGAAAAACTCGATGCCCGTGCTGTGCATGGTCCCTGGCTGTGTCACCCAGGTGTCAGAATGGGGTTTTGAGTCGTTTGGGGGCCGCCTATGGAGTGCGCGCGCGCTGGATTTTCGAGTACCCACTTTTGTCCGAGAATGGCGTGGGTTGTGGNCGAAGAAACAGAAAAAAATAGGGTACAAAAACCACTCGGAAGAGAAACAAAATGATAGAAAGAAAGACCAGCTACCGCACCAAACGAGAAAGAGCGTCGAGGAGACCGATCAAAATAAAATAAAAGGAGAACGGGGAACGCTTCCCACACCCGCCTTGGGTATACCCACTTGTGTCCATTTCCCATTGTTTTTCTTCAGACAGCAGGACACAGACGGCAGTAAATCGGTTCTACATACAGCAGTCTTTTCCTGTTCTACAATCTACAACATCGACCTTGGCTTTGAAATCCCAACGAAGGACAACATGCAGTAACGGCATGCGAACTAGCACTCTAAGGTCTCTTGATGGGGCCAGGACATCGAAGGCTATGGTTGGAACGGGTCGATGTGCCTGTTTTTTGCTTTCAAGAAAAACTGTCGCTCCTTTGGAACGCAACTAATAAAAATCAGGGCTGCGAAGACATCGCGAAAAAGATTAGACTAAACAATAAAAAGAAAAAAAATCGCTCTCTCAATAGGCGATGATGGACAGTCCGTGGTCTGTGTGCAAGGGAGAGAACAGCGCCCGCCGGGGCCGTCTCAACTCTAAAAGCTCTATCAAATGTCCCCTCGGTCTCAAAGCCCTATCAAATGTCCCCTCGATTTGAGGGGACATTTCATCGGGCGTTTAGAGGACAACTGGCGCAAGCGTGGTAAACGGAGCACGAAAAGGAGGCTTTCAAGATATTCCTCTAGAGGGAACGCGACACCTTCAAGCCAAAGCCCTACGTTGCACGGAGCCTCCTTTCATCGGTGGGCAGGGTGCTTCTCCGAGTTGGGCCCTGGTAGCGCTTTCTGACCAAGCGCCGATCGACGCGGCGCAACTTCGCTGTTGGACCTGCTGGGCTGCAGCGAGCACTTGCGGCACATCGTCACATCGCGCCGATATCCTCTTCCGCTTCCACTCCTCCCGTCCAACGCCACACTACGATAGCCCATGGCATCCAACGCATACCCCGGCAAAGTGATGAGGGTCTAACGAATGCAGATGTCAACAAGAGAGAGCGGCCGAGGTTTGCTGTAGTGGACCGTTCGGTGGCCGCTGAGAGAACAGCAGGGCACAACCGAGTGCTCAACAAACGTGGTTCGATCTAGACAACTACATGTAAAATGTAGATTTACCTTTACAGATGTTTTTGTACTTAACACCACCTGCNTGCAGATGTCAACAAGAGAGAGCGGCCGAGGTTTGCTGTAGTGGACCGTTCGGTGGCCGCTGAGAGAACAGCAGGGCACAACCGAGTGCTCAACAAACGTGGTTCGATCTAGACAACTACATGTAAAATGTAGATTTACCTTTACAGATGTTTTTGTACTTAACACCACCTGCCATCACTGATAAATCATCAGTGTATAGACTTATAAAGACTCGGAATAAGTCCAGTACCCAGACGGTTTTTGTTTGCGGCCTACGCCACTTATTTATCGGGTGAGACTGTTTTGGTGATGTATAAACTTCACGGGAGGTACACGACCANCACCTGCCATCACTGATAAATCATCAGTGTATAGACTTATAAAGACTCGGAATAAGTCCAGTACCCAGACGGTTTTTGTTTGCGGCCTACGCCACTTATTTATCGGGTGAGACTGTTTTGGTGATGTATAAACTTCACGGGAGGTACACGACCATCCTTCACACGGACGAAAGAGAGAGTACTCAAAGAGCGGCTCCCACAGCAAGGAGGGGCCCCGTGAATCATCGCGGTGCCCCCTATCAAACGGTTATCTTACCAGTCTGCGTGACACAAAATCATCCAGCACATGTATCCAACAGCAATGTTCGCAGACTCACGAACACCCTCCCTGGTTCTTCACGCAAGTGACTAACCATCAATTGGGCAAGAACGCCCCAGGATATATCAATAAATACCAACATGGTAACATATGGAGGGGAAATCCGGCGTCCGGGCAAAACCCCTCAAGGAAAAACCCTTCCACCACAAAAAA